AATGGATTGTAAACATAAAACAAATAGGGAGATTGACTGTTTGATAGATATAAAATCGAACCATTAAAACCATTTTGACTATCTGATATGAGTTTTGTTGAAGAGCTTTCGAAATATTTTTCACTAATGTTTAAATTAAGTGCTCCATTGCTCGGATTGAGCCATAGAACAGATGGTATTGTATTGTTCGAAGCCAAATAGATTTCAACTGTCGCATTTGGTGAACTGATTCGAGATGGACTTCCACGATCTTGAGCGAAAACAGTAAAACGAATGGGAAATAAGGCAGGATTCACATTGGAAAATGTCACACCCGAAGCAAATCGAATTACGCCTGTGCTACTTTCTATAACGAAATATGCTTGAGTTAAACTAACAATGAAATAATTGATCATTCCACTAACACCAGCATCGAGATCAGAAGCGATAACACGCATTACTATTGAACCAGTTGTTGAATAGATAGTTTGACTCCAATTTGTTGAAGTAAAAACTAAAATCAATTTTGAATGAAATGTCATGCAATTTGGAACGATAATCTACCTGGTGCATATTCATTGACTTCAATCAAATTGATACGTAATGTACAAAGAGCTAGAAAAGTGAATGTGATTAATAAGGTATATTAAGAAAAATATTGCATTACATTGTAACGATGGTGTACCCTGATCGCTGGCTAATACGAACAAATACCAGACACGAATAGCTCCTAGAAGATGATTTGAAATTGATTAAACGAAAATTCAATGAAACTTACCAAGTTGATCATAATCAAATGTTTCATTCGTTCGTAATTGAACCGTACGAATCTCATTAATTTGATTGAATTGATACAATTGAAATTTAGAATAGAAAGTCGATCTCGATTGAATATCGTTTGTACCCACAAGAAGTCTTGTTTGCCGTTGTTCTGACGGAAATGAAAAACTTATTTGACCATTGTTACCTTGATCACTATCGACGGCTGTCAACGTAGTAATAATCGTACCCGGTGGAGAATCTTCTCGTAGAGAAAAAATTAAATTACAAGGTTGATCTGAAAATCTTGGTGGTTGTTTATTAGCCGTAGTAACAATGATGGTAATCGTTATCGAATTGCTACGTGCGGCACAACTTGGACATGGTAATGAACAGTCCGATGATGGCACATCGGTTGCAGTGACCGTAAGAAGAATAGGTGAGGATGGTGTCGATCCAAAAGCTTGACTTAAACTCAGAACTCCTGTGAATCGATCGATAGTGAATTGTGCCGATGCTGGTGTTAGAGCAAATGTAATCGGATCTTTATCGGCATCTGTCGCAAAAACTGTACCAAATGGTAATCCAAGAGATAGTGTTTCACTGATGGAATATGTTTGAATCGAATAGATGAATGTCGGAGCATGCGCATTACAATAATTCAAATCAATTTGTGCAATGGCTGTTGATGATATCGATGGACGACCAGGAAACGATTGCGCAGCTGTGATAGTGAATAAATATCGATGATAGGGTGAAAAATAGTTCAATGGACTAGACAATAAATATAAAAACAAATTCTATACAGAGTATGAAATTCATTTTACCTGATATTGGTTGCAACTCGATAAGAAAAATTCGATAATTTTTCGATAAGAAATGCTGTGTCGCTCAATGTCACGCGAATATCAGCGACATTATCCAAAGTTCGACCAAGTGATATATAACCGGGTACTGTATTTTGTGTTTGAGGTTCGAGAGAAAATGTGAATAAAGTAGTATTGATTGGAGACGAAATTGAAAAATTCGATGCAGTTAGTTTATAGACAGGTTGATCAAATATAGGCCCATTGAAATTGGCATAGTACTAAGTAAAAGATATTCGAATGATTCGATCGATTATGAAAACAGAAAAACATACAAATAAGTCAGCAATATTTCCTTGTACTACTTGAGCTGACACCAATATAAGATTGATTATGATTATTAAAGATAGTCGATAGGGCACATTCATCAGCAATGACATGTTGATTAATATCAATTGTTGTCTACATTATCCGTGCATGTTTTTTTTTGACTATTGGAAAATATCGGCTAAAAAAGTTTAGCTAACAGATTTTCAAATGATAGTATCTCTGTGCTTTTTTTCTATTTGTAAATTTGAAAAGAAACTTTATAAGATTCTGTATTATCGATCTTACATTAGATTTATTACTCATTGTGCTTAAATGCTGTGAACAAGTATATGAATGATTAATTTCTATTCAGTAAGCATCCACTTCACACAGATTTGAATGTTGTGCAAATCAATCGGCATGGTATAACGTCCTTCAATTCGTCTTTTTTACAGTCTACCTAATTATACTCAGGGCTGTATGATTGTAAAACAAGGATTAGGTTTCGCTGTAATGTCAATATAAAATGTCGCATGTTTAACTTAAAACCGACGGATTTACGCCTGGTTATTGATGCCATATTATGAATCAATGTGGCTAATAAGAATTCACTTTGCTTGCTTCTTGAAACATGAGACAAATGAAAACAAAACAAGAGAGAACTAATGAAATTTTCTGTTCTCCGATTGTATTCGTTGTGCATGAAGGTCACCTGAAGCAAACTACTGAATGATTATTTCTTATATTGACTTAATGCTATTAAAAATTACGAATAATTTAATTATGTCTAATCAGTCATTTTCTGATTACGTAGTTCAATTGAAATGCCTTCAAATTGACCCGTTGAGACTTTGGCAAAATCTATCATAGCTTCGATTTTAGACGATTCAAAAAATGGATATACTTACAAGTTTGAAAGTTGCCGACGTTCGATGTGAGTATTGTCAAAAGAAAACGCACATGAGATATGAAAACATGCTGACAAGAATTAACTATTATTTTTCTCATTCTGTTCACAAGGGTGTATAGTTTTTTTTCTTTTTCTCTTTCTGTTTTTTTTTCTCGCCAAGTTGTGTTGATTTAGTTGAAGGCTAACCAAACAAATACTCTCATAACAAACAGCAAGCAAAATTCATTTGTTATAATTGCAAAATGTTCAACGTTTCTTCAAACATGCTATGAAGAAATTCTTCAAAAAAAAAACAATAGACAAGTGCAGATACATTCATGAGATCTACTCAGTTGATCCGATGACTATGTCTCAATCTATTCAAACTTTCTAGTTTCATACAACCTTTTGTTCTAATCATTTTTTTTTAAATAGATTTTAGAGTTCCAATGTAGTTTAACAAACATTATTAATTTACTTTCATTTTTGTTGCATTAAATAAAAACTGCACTTTTATCTAGAAAGACTCACGTCATAATCCATAGGAATTTAAATAATCATTGTACACTTTTATACGAATCAATTTTAATAATTTGCTCTATATGCATCAATACGGAATCATTCACAAAGTTCGTTTTGTCCTTTTATTCTTATATATGGCAATTCAGAATGATCTGTGAAACGTGATACATGTATTTTTTTAGTTGATAGCAAGTGAAGTTGCTTTCATGATATCAACAATAAGAGCTTATCCGTATAGAAAAGAAACTTTGATTAAACTTCTGCTATCAACCAACAAATAAATCTATTCGATCGGACCGATGCGAAGATATTTCTTTCTTTTATCGTAGTGCTATTTAAAGACTACACGATATTTATCTGATGATCCAATCTAGTTTTCCTCGTCAAAAAGAAAATTGAAATGAACCAAAACACAGAAAGAGCAACTATCAAAATTATTTTATATTACAATTTTTCAGAAAGTTTCGATGAATACGTCCATGGGATCTTATAAGTCAGTTCAGTGACGATTTCATAATTCACTGAACGATTCAGAGTATGTAAAAATTGTTACATTTATTATTTTCGAACTAATTTATCTTGAGCGTGTGAGTATGAGTCTTCTTTTTATCAACACACAAATTCCATATTTCAAGACAAACTACCCACACATACTCTCTCCATTAGTTATGTTTTTTTTTTGACTATTTTGTTCGTTTGAGGTCATTCGTTAGAAAAGATTATTTGCGCATGAGTGTATGCTGTTAGAGAAAAGGGACACATACAGCTATCAATCCATGAACACACTCACCTTCAAGTACGATCATAAGTTTTTTTCAACGTTAAAATTTCTTAAAACTTGCTTAATAAAAGCAAATATTGTTCAAACTAAGAAAAAACTAAAAATTTTCTTTTTGGTTTCATCTTCTCATTGGTTAATCGTGAGTAGTTAGACGCTGTTTGATAGGAAAAGGTTACGCTCGCTTGGTAATTAAAACCCGAAGATCATGTTTGGGCCTCATGGTAATAATAAAATCTGCTACCATTGATTGATCAGGTTCCAATTCGAAATTACATTGTTGAATGAGCATCAACAAAATTACTTTGGCTGCGAGTAACGCAAAATGTTGTTCAATACAATTGCGTTGACCAACTGAAAACGATAAATAACAGTATGGATGTGGTAGATTCGGTTTGAGATCGGTGATAGGATTTCGTAACCATCGTATATAGTCAAATTCGAGTGGTCGAGACCAGAAATCAGCTCGTCGATGGAGTGTATACGGTACAATCAGAATAGTTGTATTGATAGGAACTCGCACTTGACGATGACCTTTACTGCCCATGATATTTTCGCGTTTGCATTCTTGCATTAATAGAGGAGTCGGTGAATAGAGACGAAATGTTTCTTGCAAGACAGCTTCGCACACAGCTAATTGATTGATGTGTTCATAGCTCGGTATCGTAACACATCTTCGTTGGTCATTAGAACAAACATAGTCGACACTAGCAGATTTCCAGTAGTCTCGTGGCCAGCTAAGACGAATGTCAAAGCTTCATTTTTGATTTCTTCATCCGTAATCGATCGTCCTTCAGTATCGACGGCTGAAAGAAGTAGATCAAGCAAATCTACATTTGAACATAGTAATCGCTTTACGCCAAAATCGTAATCGAGATAGAATGGGAATATGAATGATCATGTTCATCCAACGATATCCTATGGCTTCAAAAATCTCGTTTACTGTTCGACACATGATTTAATTGGCATTAGGCATTGTTTCTAGGCCTTTGTCAAAAGCACACAATGTGATAACTGATAATGTTAACGCGGTTAGTTCCATCTGTAAATTGATCGATGATGGATTCGACATGGTACGTATTCGTTCAATTGTCTTGGCTGTTTGATCAGCCGTAATTGGGATCATAGATTTAAGATTGTGCAAATAAAATACTGGATTGAGCATTTTTCGAGCTCGCTCATGTTCGACACCTTCACTCATCAGAATATTATGTGAACCGATCAATGGCTTAAAAACACGAGTAAATACCGCCGGTTTATCATAATATTGAGTGTGTGATTGGCCAAGAATATCCTCAATCATATCGGGTTCATTGACGATGGGATGCATCGAGAAACCTATCGCAAAGGTATAACATTGTTCATGTTTTTCTATTAGTCCATCCACATAGACCAGAGTACTGTCATGCTGTCGAGCGTGACGCAGTTGAGGTAACTGACCGATCAAGGAAACGTATGGTTCACCCTGGATTCCTTGATCCCGAAGTTCATCGTAGATTCGTTTCTTGGGTCGAATCAATCTTGCATAGATAATGAAAACGATCACTAGATATAACAATAACATGAGAAAAAATATTTGAATACGTCTCGCAGACAAAAGAAAAAGAGCTCTTTTGTATCAATTTTTTTTCATTCTTATCATCTAGCTCTCATTTAGGGTCGGTGTGTTGCATACTACTAAAAAGAAAAGATGAAAATAACACCATATTGTTTTTTTTCTTCACATGGCTTCGAGAAGTCAACCTTCATTATGAAACCAATGATTCATGCTTTCTACCGTCACATTTAACCATGTTTATAACCTGAAAAATCGATAATGAGTAAAACCGGTTTTCGAATTGGACTCATTGTGGTTATCTTTCTGATTAGACACAACTTGTTGTGAACTTTTTCACAGGATGAATTCATATCGATCTTCCTCTATCTGATCTATGATTGAAGAAAATAATCCGAAAACAGTTGCTATCTATGCACATTATCAATACCAATCTGTGATATTATTCTTTCCCGCTGTTGATTCAGATGATTCAAAACAATGACTACTTAATAAACCCATGTAGCATTGTCAGACGACGGCAAAGACAGTAGCTTGTGCAAACAGATACAATTCACATGAGATCACATGGCATTTCTTGACTTGATGCTCGAGAAAACTATCGAAATCAAGTTCTGCTTGATAAAACAAGAAACAGATCTGTCATCTAAGAAAAGAATATACAAAGGCGATCATTTTCATCCCAAATCAAAAATTATGTCGTATGCATGATACAATTAAATGAACCAGACAAAACCTTCCTATTATCTTACCTACATTTATTCTTGATGAACATTCACCAAGTAACAACTATCCTTTTTCAAATTCTAAGAAAGAAAGAAATTCATGAAGTGCTAATTTCTTCGATCAACTACTATTGTATCCTTTGTTGTTCTGATGATTTATTATACAACCCAATGATTGAAATCTTCGTCGGTATAGAGCACATTCAAGGAATTATGTGACAGACTGTAACCAGTACTGAACGAAGGGACAGTAATCACACATATACTGATCTGTTAATAGATTATGAAGAATGGATTCTTGTCAGTATGTCATGATTAGTCATATTTTTGTTCATTCAATTCTCCGTTCTGATATCGAAACGAATATCCCTTTTTTATTACTTTGTAGCACTCAACGACCTTGATCTGCAGTGAGAAATAGTTCTTTATGTAAGAAAGTCGATTCTTGATTCCAAGAGTTATATGGTACAATTTTCAGGAGAAACTTACCGTGGAAAGGTCGATCAATTATTTTGTTGAGTTTATTATGTTTCTCAGAAGAGAGATATTTATTTTTGACTGTCCGCAGTATCAAAATTTCATTCGTTAGTTGTTACTTCATCAAGAAAAATAATAGACACTCGATATTCGTTTGAAACATAGGAAACGAGTCCTATTGATATATGACTAATAGTAAATTATTTGATAAATGAACTACTATTAAGTTCTTTTACCTTTTCGCTGAAATTCATCCTACCGAAGAGATTCTCTAAGATCACAAGAGATTTTTCTATTTATTTATTCAGTCTCACCAATGGAGCTGACGAATTGCACACAATCGTTTTTCGATAAAAGAATACGACATGAATATTACCATGGAGCAAATATCTCGTTCTAGACTAATCAGGATTGTCTTTTTTTTGCTGACGAAAGCCGTGCACTGAGCTTTACAATGCAGAGCAAGATCTCTATCCATCGCATACATACGTTGTAGTCTATATAAAACAGCAATATCCATGATGTTAAATAATTTCTTAAAAATTATGGCTTTCGTGAATTTCATATCAAAAGCATATAAAAGTATTGGTATTACACATGATGAATCGAACATTAAGATTGAGTTATTTAATGTTCATTAATTGCAAAAAACATTTTAATCAAAATCATGTAACTAAACGGATGGCCATGTTTGTTTTAATTAATGAAATTGAAATACATCAATTTTAATAACTGTTCCTTCATTTTAATGCAATTTTTGTTGTTTCCCAAATACGTGGACAGAACGTAAAGTAGAAGAAAAATGGAGAATAAAATATGATTCAAGCACTGGAACTAAAAAATGTGCTCGATACAATCAAGAACTAGAAATGCGATATAAACAATATTAAAACCAAGCGATGAAATAAGAGTCACATGGGCAAAGGACGACAGAGATCTTAGTACCGTCCAACAAAGTATTCAGAATAGAACTGGCGACAAAATTTCTTTCTACTAAAGAGATCATGTCATTTAGAATTTCTTCATTATTGTGACAACGTTTGAAACATGCACATGGAACTCGATAAGCGAACGGAATACTGTGAAGTCTAGACTTGTACAAAGCAGCAATACTAATGCAAATCGGGTCAAAGTAACAATATATGTTGATTATAGAATTCACAATGGAATTGTTGAAATGCTAGTGATGAAGACGGTCTCCTTTGAAATGAAATCTGGTCAAATTAAAACAACGGCTATATTGGTTCACAGAAGCGAAAATTTATTTGCCGATCTTTGTATAAAGAACATGTGCCTTTTTCAGATCTATGTGATAAGTTTGACTGATTTTTATAAGACTAGAGCACTTTTTTACATATTTATTGAAATCCCGAACCGTTTTCTCAAGAATGGATTCACTGTTTAAAAGTTGATATAATAGAATATGACAAAAAGTAATTTTAAATATATGACATCGAAGAGCTCCTATCAAATTTTATTTGTGTTTATGATTCGAGTAATGTTACTGTAAAAAAAATAATAAAAGCATATGACCAAGCTGGAAATTTTTTTTCACATTTAGAACAAGATAGATGAAGAAATCTCGTTGCATAAAGAAAAGAAGCAGAATACTGTTGCATTGTTGTTTTTGTCATTCAACGTCTAGCCTGACGACGGCACATAACAAAGTTCTTTAGAATATCAAAACTATGATAGCAACATTGGTATTTTTTGTACATGTTGATCTTTAGCAATATATATAAATCTATTATTACAGTTTGGTTCAATAAAGTTTCCTCTTCTGTTATGCTTTCTTAAGACGATTATAATTTGTTTTCTGTCGATGATCAGTATATAGCGAGACAGTACAAACTTCACTGCATCGTATGACATATTAATCATAAATAACAAATAAATCTCAGAGGAGAAAGAATAAAGAGGAATAACTGAACTTATATATATTAATGCATATGAAACTAATCGAGAAACGAACATTCGACTTACTATTATTGTATATTATAGTAAAAAAAGTACTCCATCTTTTTTTCTGCCGTATTTTTTGTCTTCTGAACTTTATTTGTTATTTTTGATTAATATGTCATGGGATTCAGTAAAGTTTGTACTTTCTAGCTATAAATAGATTGACGAGAACACAACCAAACTGTTATCATCTTAAGCAAGAATAACAGAAGAGAGAATTTCAATTGAACCGCCCCGTTGTTACAACTTCTAATAAATCATGATTGGTCATTTCTTTTAGTAAAGTGTTATTGTTGAAAATGATATTCACACACAAATTATCATAGGAGAACACTCACACCAGCAAGAGCACTGACACCTACACCTATCGGCATCATCATACTAGGATATTCTAAAGCTTGAAGAAGAAAATAATTTGAAAAGCTGCTCCATTTTTACGTGTTCAGTATTGTTTATTTAATTTGTCTCCGTAATTATCGACTTTCTAACTTTCACTTACGATGAAACATATTTGAGTATATATATTCCCTCAGAATGAGTTTAAAAGCATTCTATCTGGCATAGATTTCCACCAATATATCGAATAACAATATCTTGGCTGCTTTTGATTAAGTCTGAAAAAAAAAACAGAGGATCAAATTTTCAGTTTTTAGATATATTGCATCGTTTTTATTATTTATGAAAATTTGCAAGAATGATCATGTTATTTGAGAACGCTGTGTAGAAAAAGGCTATGATTCTACATGAATGGACCATTTGTCTATCACAAATAAAACTATTATATCTATGCCTTCCATCTATGAACTAAAAACTATGATTTGCATGTGTCACATGTCTGAACTGAACACGCTTCTTCCTGATAGAAAAAAATACGAACCACGTGCTCAAGCTTTATTATAAAAATTACAATTTCATGAGCTTTTGCTATGATCTATTAAAATTGAACACGGATGTATAATTCTAAGGCCAAATGACAGTTATATTTTCTGCTTTCCATCCATGAGATCCTTCGACAATATTAAATTCAACATTTTTACTGGTACAAAAAACTGGCGAGCTGCAGTTTAGAATATTTGAAGCATGAACATAAAGGTCTCTATCAAGACCAACACACTCGATAAATCCAAGACGTCGTTTTTCATCGTTCAACCATTTCAAACAACCGTGAAGCTTTCGTTTCGAATCTATTTTTGAAGGATCAGCTCTAGATACGTAATTTTTGTTTTCTTCCATCATGGTTGCCAAGTTTTCGTTATTGATACGAATTTCCATAGGCATCTCTAGCCAACGATGATTTACATAGAGAGTATCAAGTATTAATTGTAAACGTTTTCTTTTAAATTCATCTAATTCTTGATCCGTTTCATTCAACGTACCAGACTTAAAGTTCCATGCGCCGTTAAAATAAGAAAATCCACAACCAATAAATGTTGTATTTCTCGGTTTCCAATATCCAAAAATCGAATAAAATAAACGACCATGAATATATTGACCACGTCGTCCTTTCCTATGTGGAATATTTTTTAAAATCCAATCGGATTGTTTTATATAGATGTCACCAGTTGAATAAGAAATCAAACCGACATAGGATTTTTTAGGATCAAATATATCAGA